GTTTTGTTTTGTCTTTTGTTGTTGTTGTTGTTTTGGGTTTGTTGTTTTTTTTGTTTTGTTTTTTTTTGGTTTTTCGAGACAGGGTTTCTCTGTGTAGCTTTGCGCCTTTCCTGGATCTCACTCTGTAGACCAGGCTGGCCTCGAACTCACAAAGATCCGCCTGCCTCTGCCTCCCGAGTGCTGGGATTAAAGGCGTGCGCCACCACCGCCCAGCAGGTTTTGTTTGTTTTTTCCTGATATTTTCTCCTGGTGTGTTTGAACTTGGCCTTCTTACCTCTTCCCCCGACCCTCTCTCTCAGCCACATTCCAGTGCTGGCTCTATTTCCCTCATTGCTTTTTTCCATGTCTTACACTTCATAGTTTGGGCACATGTTAAAACTTGTTACTTGTTAATTATCCAGCACAGTTGCAAAACTGTATTGCCTCTCTCTGTCCACAGCCCGAATTCAAGCTATTAAATATAATGCAGGGAAAGCGATAGTTGGGTAGAATGCTGTCATTGGACATGCACTGTGTTCATGCAGTGCCCACAGAGGCACTGGAGGCCACTGGAGCCCCTGAACTAACAGATGGTTGTTAGGGGTCCTGTGGGTGCTGCAACCAAACCTGGGTTCTCTGCAAGAGCTGCAAGTGCTCTTAACCACGGAGCTCTCTCTGGAGCCACGAGATAAAGGGATTCTTAGGAGAACACCCTTGCACTTCAGCAGTGGAGTCTTGACACGCATGTTTAGGGTACATGTTGAGGTTAATGAAGGGTTAGTCCCGTTAGTACCTTCAGGAACTTCTCTGAAACAGTTTGTGGGGGTTGGCTGGATTTTGGAGGGCTAAGTTTTCATCGGGCTTAACACTTGGGTGAAACCCACAGGATGCAGGCAATGTGGCCTGGCCGCAGAGACGTAGCTAACAGGTGGAGGTGAGCAGACAGCGCTTTATTGGGTCAGCATTGCTGCTGCTGCTGTTCTTTCCACGACTGATTTTCCCCATCTCTCCAGACCTGTGCATTTCTCGTCTCCTTATTTGTAGCCCAGACTGGGGCTGATTAAACTTTTCTCACTTAATTTCTTTATAGCTTTGGGAATTTTTACATGCCCTCATATATACACACACACATAAAACAGTTTTCTGGCTTACACACAAATGTATCATTTGTTTAAGATAAAAACAAACATATACTAATGAGACAGACATCTCTGCTTATCTAACACAGTACAATCCAAGGACGCTGTAATGTCACCCACAAGCTGGGGGGTGAAGAAGTAACAAGTCTGTAATTTCATTTCTATCTGAACAGACATCTTTGCATGTGCGGTAAAAAGCAGTGCAGTTCATAACAGAATAATATCAGGTTCCCCACACCCTTCCCTCCTCTACCGACCTCTCTCCCTGAACCCTTTTCTGTCTCTGCCCAGTACAAGGTTTGCCTCCTGTGTGCTTGAACAGAATGGAGGTTGTCTTGTTGTATAGCTATTTTACGACATACTTTTATCCAGATAAACCGAAGCTAAGGACAGGTGTTGGCAAAGCGTATAGAGATCTGGAACCAATGCAAGGAAGATAGATCTATATTGTTATTGCACTCATAATCATCTGGCCTGGAAGCCAAATGACAGAGCGAGTTTACATCAGTCCCATAAAACTCAAAACTAGAGAAGGTGAGGCCACTAATATGAAAGCTTTTCCTCAGACCTGTCCACTCACACAGAGCAACATTCCATTTCTTATTTAATGCTGTATGTTTGTGCATATGCCTTCTTCTCTTGCTATTTATCTGATTATTTAAGTAAAACTCTCATATATTATGTCTTTTTGTGTGCAATTTTAAGATATTCTGAGATATTTTAACATTTTTGTTGGGTTTTTTTTTTTTTAATGGTCACCATGAGATGCTGTTTCAATAAATATTTTGAGTCTACATGTTTGCTACAAAAGGTGGCATGAAGCTGGCTTGCTTTCCAACAAGCTGAGGCTCCGGGTGAGGGATGCGAGGGTAAGAATGGACAGATGCCCTGGGGCTCAGACTCTCAGCGATAGAATTACTGTCCACATTGAAAGATGTCGGACAGCAGACTCTCAGCGATAGAATTACTGTCCACATCAAAAGATGTCGGACAGCCACTGCTCGGCTGGGCTACGTGTGAGGTGACCTGCTGTCGGACTGAAATCGAGCAGCACCTTTACTGTTACAGTGTTATGCAGCACTTCCTTGAAGAAGTATAGCAACTTTCTTTGCGTTGTAATATGTAAACTGCTGGTTTTTAATGCTCATTTTGGGCGTAGCTGTGGTAGCTTTAATAATAGTCATTTTATATTGTTTTTTTCTACAATATGTAATCATTATTAAACTTTCTTGTAAATGGAGTAAAACACTAATGAATCAATACTAATAAGTGCCTAGGAAATTATCAGCTTGCTTAAACGTTAGGCTCACATAGCTATAAGTATTGTGTTAAATTCATGGGGTTCAATAAGATTGTTCTGCCTTTTAGATACTACCTTCTAAATAGTTAATTCTAACATCATAAATACATTGATCTTAAGACTCTAATTGCTACTCACATGAGTTTGGTTAAGGAAGGGTAAGCTTGAAAAGAGAAAACTAGTTTGTATAGGAAATGGCGATGTGTCATAAGGGTGCTAAAAGATGCCTGCTTAGGTTGTGGAAAAGATGAGAATCAAATGAAAATTGCCGCCTCTGTACAAACCAGGTTCCCCTATTGAGTGCTGGTATGCTCCAACAGGCCTTATTGCTTAGAGTTTCCCGTCTCTAGGAGAGCTGCAGAATAGCCCGTCTCATGCACAGTATACACATGTAAATATTTTACTTTGCCAGTTTGCATTACTACTGGACGGCTCTCTGTGCCTGATATTCCGTTCTGGAACAATAAGCCACAGTAAGCACTTTTGTCAAAACTGTCAAATAGTCCTTTTGCGTTTTTCCTCAGCTCTGTTCCCAAAGTATGGGATATGTTAGAAGGTGACATTTTAAAATAATGCTTGTGTTGAAATCGACAACCTGAACAGACCCATTATGCTTGTTTGTGATTATACATTTAAGTAGAACTATATATCTGTGGGTATGCAGATTTGGAGAAAATAAAATATAATTATATTTATGTAAATATAATAAATAGATATTTTCAAAATATTTGCTGTCCAGAAGATTATTTAATGTTGCTTCTTTTTTTAAAAAAAAAAATGGCAATTTTGCTTGACTTAACCACACTTTTCACTAGTGTTGATTGGTTGACTGTTTGCAGTGATATGAATCAATGGCTTGATGGTTCCCCCTCCAACAGGTGGTACCTCAAGTGTTATATAATCTCTTAGGCCATATTTCACTATCACCCCGATAGCCCCCAGCTCACTTCCCTGGGAAAAGAAAATTGAAGTCCAGTTTTGGCAGAGTGCAAACAAAATGTGTCCTATATAGCTTTTGGGTTGGTTTTGTGTGTATGTGTGTGTGTGTGTGTGTGTGTGTGTGTGTATGTGTGTATGTGTGTGTGTATATGTGTGTGTGTATGTGTGTGTGTATATGTGTGTGTGTGTATGTGTGTGTGTGTGTGTGATTTAAATGCTAACTGGAGCAGAGCTGGCATTCCGTCAAAGCGTTCAAACACCTCCAGGAAAAAAACAGTGAAAGTCACCCAAAGTCACATCACACTGTTGCCCCGCCTAGTGTAATGTTATTACATTAGCGACTTATTACCAGTTCCTGATGATGCTTCTAAACTACAAAGTGCTGTCTACAACCTCCAGCGACGGATGCCAGGCTAGCCCAAGACCACACGGGCATTCTGGTGCTTTCTCCACGCTCGCCTCTCTGCCCTAACCTGTGGATGGTAATTGTGTCAGTGACCTGGGCCCCAGCTCAGAATGCTCAGGAGCCCACTTAAAGCCTAGGAAAGGCAGAGGGCCGTTTAGGACCTGGTTCTGACATGCTCTGGGTTGAGATCTGCCTGGAGAAGTCAAATGCCCTGTGTCCATTCTGTAGGAGGAGTTCTTCCAGATTTCTCAATCTAGGGACCATCTTTATTTCCTAAGAGTTTAATGCCATGTGGATAAAAAGAAGGAAAAATAACTAGCAAAAATGAGCAAACTGGCAGTGGAGGAGGGGGGGGAAATGTTCTTCCTGGTCCTTGAGACTGAGGAATGGGACGACCCCGGCTTACCTTCCCAAAGTGGGCAGGGAGAGAATGTGCCTGTCTCTGAGAAGCTTGCCCACACAGCACAAGGTAAGGCCCAGACCCTGCCTTCTGCTGTCAAGATGCACAAATTTCAACCCAAATCCGTGGATACTCAGAAAACACTGTTTGAAAAGGAGACACACGCCAGGGACTCCAGTGAGGGTGACTGCCAAGCGCAAAACAAAGCAGGCAAGCCTGTGTGTGAACCAAAACCAATGGAATTCTTCACAGGGAACCCATTCTTCCGGTTCCACTTGTGGCACTGGGAACCAAACCCTGGGCCTTGTACATGCCAGGCACTTACTGGACGGCTAAGCCACATCCCAAACCTGAGTCTGTAACATTTAAAACCATTTTTTTTTTTTTTAAGGTTGGATGTAGTAGTGCACATCTTCAATCCCCACACTTGGGAGACAGAGGCAGGCATTTGACGGTGAGTAAAAGGCCAGGCACTCTATACAGAGTTCCAGGCCAGCCGGAGTTCCGGAGTTAGGTAGTGAGACCCCTTCTCAATCCATCAGTTGAAAGCGGGATTTCTCCACAGGCCAAGGTGGCTCACACACCTTACTGGAGAAGGCTGGGGAGGGAGGATTGCCATCGGTTCAACACTAGCCTGAGCTACAGGGGGAGCCTGCCTTCTCAAAAGGAAAAAAAAAAGAAAGAAAGAAAACATAAAATAAGTGAAACCGGTAACAGCAATCCAACAACCAAACGGCCTTTCTCCAAACTTCTGACCCATCCAAGCAACTAGTGGAGGCCTGGGCTCGGTGCCCGCCAACCCCCTGCTGGTGTCAGCCGCGCGGGGCGGCTCTAGGCAGAGGCCCGCCCCCGGGTGTCCCCTCGAGCCCGGCGCTCCGGCCCCTCCCGGCCAGCGGAGCTGAGAGCCGGCGACCATGCTCCGCGTCCCGCGGGCCCCGCTGCTGCGCCTGCAGCTCGCCCTGCTGGTGGCCGCGGGGGCCGGGGCGCGAGTGAGCGCCCCGCGGAGCCTGGCGTGGGGCCCGGGGCTGCAGGCCGCCGCCGTCCTGCCCGTGCGCTACTTCTTCCTGCAGGCGGTGGACTCGGACGGCCGGAACCTCACTAGCTCGCCGCCAGGTCAGCAGCGCCCGTCGCCGTCCCCGCGCGTCCCCGTCCCCACACACGGCCACCTCCCCACTGTGGGCGTCGCCCTCCCTCCCCTCCCCGGGGGCTCCCTTCCCTCCGGCCTGACACCCACGGGGAGGGGGCGGGAGACGCCAGCTAGGTCCGTGGGGTGACTAACTCCAAGGGCCGGGCCACATGTCCCGCGCGTGGACTGATGTTGGCGTACATGGCGCCCGTGGTGTCCTATGGGACGCCGGGCTGCGGTCACGTGATGCGGATGGTCCTTCCTGACCTGCAGGGAGTGCCTTCCTCCCCGACTCTGCACCCACTCATCGCTTAGGCGCTCCTAGGCCTGCAGGGCTGGGCCTTCTTGCAAGCAGGGTTTCCTTGACTGAATGCAGACCACAAGACTCAGTGAAACTAAGTAGAAACGGGGCTAGGGAGGATCTTGTCCTGGATCTCTGCAGGGGCCCCCCTCCCGCGTCTGACAGCTTCTCTCGACTTGTCCAGCTGGTTTCCAGTGGTTGCCAGTCAGGATTTGCTCATTTGTGTCTAAATTGAAGGCGATTCCTGTTTTGCAAGCAGAGAGACTGAATAATTCAGGGCCTGTCTACTCCACAGTGCAATGGGAACGTCATGTACTTGGAGATCCCTGTGTATTTGATAATCCTGGAGTGAAAAGAGGGTGGTAATGTCTGCCTATCAGAAAACGTAGAGTCTACTGAGAAAATAGATGAGCAACTGACCTACCAGGGCACATCACAGTTACTACAATGGGATATGTGCAGCGTGGTGTGAACATGGGAAGACTTCGCGTAGGCCCAGGGAAGTCTGGGAAGCCTTCGAGAGTAGAGGTTTGGAGGCGGAGGGTTTTCTGGACAGGCTGGCAGACGTGCAAACGCAGGGAGTGTGAGGATCGAGTGTTCAGAACAGGAGCCTGTGGGGCGTGTTTCAGATTCAAACCGTGACGTAGTATCACTCCAAGTTTGTAATAAATAAATGAACCTGAACGTGCACTTCCGTGGTTATAGCAAGAAAGTACGGATTTTTTCTCTAATTCCTGTTAGCATGCTTTTTCCCAGATAAAAATTTCTGCATAGATAATATCTTATTTATATTGATATGTGTGCATGTTTATATACGTCACTTGTGCGCAGGTGTGTTAGCATCCAGAAGAGGGCGCTGGATCTGCTGTCGCTGGATTTCCAGGCACTTGTGAAAGGCAACTGCTGGGACCCGAACATGTGTCCTCTGGGAGAGTAGGAAGTGCCCTTAACCACTGAGCCATCTCTCTAGCCCCAGTAGATCATGTTTTCGTAGTGAGAAAAAAACAAAACTCTTAATATGACTGCGCTGCCTGAGTGGCTCCTGGAGTATGTGTGTACTTGGCAGGAAGTCAGACATATTTGGAGGATTATGTCGTCCTAGGGCGTAACACTTTGGTCTTCTGGGACACTCACTAATGTAGGATCAGTGCTCTCCCTGTAACTGCAGGGAGCTTTAATAAGCTTCCTAAACCGGTCATGGCCGGCGAGGTCCCCATCGCCAGAGATTCTCTTCCATTTAAGATGCTGTAGAGCTGTGAGTGCTCACAATCACTGATGTGTGAGCTTCGGTTACTTCTTGGAGCTGGGTCTCTCATCTGTACAGTGGGGGTAAGAAATGCCTACCTGACAAAGTCTTACAGGAAACAGGTAGAAATGCTTCAGAAAGCTAGGTGTGATGGTGAGGGCCTACCACCCAAGCACTTGGGAGACAGAGGCAGGAGGATTATGGGTTCTAGGCTAGCCTTGACTATGTAATGAGAACTTGATCTAAAAAAATAAATAAACAGATCTGAACACAAGAAGTAGCCCACAGTAGGAGCTAAGTGATTTTTTTTTTTAAATGCTTTTGGCTTCTTTGAAATTAAAGTGTTCGGAATCTCTGATGTAAGGGTTTGATACTTCCTGCCTCCTTTTGGGTCACTCTGCTCCCATCAGTCAGCTTTTCTTAAAGCAGTTGGAATTTATGAGGAAGAAAACTCAAGCTGATCTTGGGATCTGTTCCATTATAATAACCGTCAGGGCAAATGCAAACTCATATTCCTTCCAATGTAAGCAATTCAGATTTTTCCTCTTCCTTGTCTCCCTTGTACAGATTACACTTCCTTATTTCTATGTCAAACCCAACCAGTGTATTTTCCACTGACTCTCACATTAATTTTATGCTATCAATGATCCAGGCATGCAATGTTACTATAAAAATAACTAAGCACTTAAAATATGTCTTTTTAATAGTTTTAAACTTTCCTTTGTTGGTTTTTGTTTTGCTTTGTTTTTTAAGCCAGGGTCTCACTATGTAGACCAGACTGGCCTTCAGCTAACAGAGATCCACCTGCCTCTGCCTCCTGAGTGTTGGATTAAAGGTGTGTGCCACCCCAGCTTTTCAGTCTGCCGTAGCACGCATTATCTTTCTTTTTTCTTTTTAAAAAAGTTTTTATTTTATGTGTATGGGTGTTTTACCTGAATGTATGTATAACCACTGTGTGCGTACCTGCTGGTGTTGAAGGCCAGAAGAGGGTCTCAGAACCGCTGGAACTAGAGTTACCGCCAGTTGTGAGCCACTGTGTGGGTGCTGTGACTTGAACCTGGGTCCTCTAGAAGAAAAGCCAGTGCTTTCAACTGCTGAGCCATCTCTCCTGTCCCTCGGGTTGCCTTTCTGACGGCAAGCTAGAAGAAACAAACACATTTGAAAATTCAATTTAAAAACAGAAATTTTCACACTCTCTTGAGCTCGGGGAACTTTGTAGAAGAGGAAGTAGGAAGTGTGTAAAAGCCAGAGACAAAGTGATGGGCTTTGAAATGCAATCCTCTAGACCAGCGGTTCTCAACCTTCCTAAGGCTTCTACCCTTCAAAACGGTTCCTCACGCTGTGCTGACCCCCAACCATGAAATTATTTTTGTTGCTGCTTCATAACTGTAATTTTGCTGCAGTTATGAGTCGGAATGTATATATCTGAGGTGCAGATGGTCTTCGGCAACCCCTGTGAAAGGTGACCCCCAAAGGGGTTGCAACCCACAGGTTGAAGACTGCCGCTCTAGACTCAGCCTTTGCAATCATGAACTCAACGCTGTGGGCTGTACCAGGCCCACACAAGACTGGCCCTATCAACAGTCAGTCACAGAATGGGGAGGGTCTTAGGGAGCCCAGTCCCTCACTTCCAGACTCCTATTAGGTTCTGGGAGAGGGAGCATCCATCATCTTCAGTTGTGAGCCGGCTGCTGGGCCCACCAGGCTCCAAATCCGTAGTCACACAGACAACCCTGGTTAGACTCAGTGGGTCACACAACAAAATAAATAGCCATGAATGTTGGAAAGAGATCTGTAGAAAAGGGGAAGGGTGGACAGGGTGGGAGGGGCACTGGAGAGGGCAGAGGGCAAGAGTGGTCAGGATGCATTATTGCGCCATGTGAAATCGTCAAAGAACAACTTTAATTAAAAAGGGAGGACATTTCCTCAGAAACGAGGGTTGCTAGATACTTTAAATGGCATTCAATAGCATGCGTATGTTTTACAGGGAGAAAGTTGAATTGCCACAGGGCCATCAACTTTATAGAGTGTGAACTGTTAACTGCCTACCTAAGTCTAAATGGTATTCAGAAGAGAGAAGACCAAGTAGGCAAGACTGTCCCTTTCTTCAATGAATTGATTTTTCCATCCACTGTCGTTATGGAATAGATAATGACTCCCATGTTAAGTCAGATCCTTGGCTTATGGGTGAGTCAGGATAGTTGGTGGTCTCAAGGATCTTCTAGGCTGAAATGAACGTGGTTTACCATGAACACTGCAGGGCAAAGGAACGTCTGTATGAGAGGCATGGTAATCAGGAAACGGTCGTGTTCTTCTTTATTTCTTTTGCCTGCAGGTCAAACACAATTCAAAGTGGTGGTAAAATCCCTTTCACCCAGAGAGTCGGTCCGAATTTATGCCCCTAAGCCTTTGGACAGAAATGATGGAACATTTTTGGTGAGATACAGGATGCATGAGACTGCCCACGAAGGCCTCAGGGTAGAGGTCCTTTATGGTGGTGAGCACGTGGCTCAGTCTCCCTATATTTTGAAAGGTAAGTGTTATTAGTCACCTGAACCTAGACTTATGTGGGGTGCATGCTTTTCAGAACTGCTTGGTGATGACCCTGCAGTCAAGTTCAACAGAGTAAGCATTTATATGTACTCTT